TACATACTTGATAAATTAAACTAAATTTAATAGATTCCTGTAGAGGTAGACTCTATATAAATGCAAATACATAAAGTACAAACATACATATATTACAATGTCAATAAGTTGTGCTCAAACTCAGACAAAGTGTGATGTGAGTGACCATTGGACTCACTACCAATGAGCATGGATTATTATAATTATTATTGATGTTTTGTGAGGCGGCTTTCCTGGTATGGAACTTGGGCCCTATTTAACACTTATTGTGAGTATAAAAATTCCCTTAGTGTTTCGTATTGCTTCACGTGCGTTCTATAGTTATAAGTTTTTATGAAGTCCTTACTGTGTTGTGAAGTTGTACTCGTGTAAAATTCTACAGATTTTTGAAATATTTATGTTGTCATTGCGTGATGAATATAAGCCAATTAGATAAATAATTGCTTTGATGTGTGTGGTAATAGTAGCCATCAAATGAAATAAATAAAACTAAATGAATAAATCTGATATCTATCGCTGAAGATGGAGATTAGATATTGCTTCCCGATAGACCGGTGTCAATTACTTAATTTAAAAAAGCCAAAGCAATGTATTCCTCATATAAATAAAACATTGATAAATAAATAATAAAATTATCACATATAGCAAAAAAATATTATATCTGAAATTCCCATAGATACCTTTTTATGAGCTGTGTATTGACCTCGACTGCCCTCACTGACCATGAGGCCACCGAATAATCAATCTGGTTAGTGAATTTTTAACTATTAACCCTTTATTGACACCGTGATTTCGGGAACTACTATTACCATAGTTTTTGGACCCAGAGATTGGTGTCCTGTTGCCAATGAGGTATATCGCGTTTAATTGGATTCCTTCAAGACTCCGTATCCATTCAGAAGTTATACTTGTTCTTTAATGATATAATGATCTTTATAATGAATGAATATCTAATAAGAATTTTTTTAATGAATGAATATCTAATAAGATTTTTTTATAATGAATGAATATCTAATAAGAATTTTTTATCTTATATAATGGTATCTTCAGTGCTTGAAACAATGATAAAGGGCAAACAATCTTCTGGTCATGCTTAACAAATGTAAATTACTGTGAGTTCACACTTAAAAATAGACAGTAATAGTGCAACTTAAATCTCTTATTGATTTGTAATTCTGGTATAACAAAGGCGCAACTAGCATTGTTATGCAAGTCTTTTGTTCATATTGAGTTTCTATCATATTATTTGCTTCACTTTTTATCAGATGTGGTAATTTTTTTTTTAGAAATATAATCTTTAAAAAACATGTTAACAACCAGTACTGTAAAATGCCATGGCGGTATTCGACTTTCTTTAGTATATAGTATAACATTATTTCCCGAGAAATTACTTCTTTAAAAGTTTCTTCAGTAATTAATGTAAATGGTTTACTCTTAATTTTTTACTATAGAATTCGAAAGTTACTGTATCTTCAATAGTTTTTTAGCTGGTTTTTATATCACAATATGCGACTACATTTTTTGTATATTTAAATGTCTTTGCGATTAATGCTTTTCTTCTAATATAAAAGGGTGGATCTCCCATTTCTACCTGTAATGCTTTTAACGAAGCTGACTTCATTGAACCTGGAAACGCACATATTGTGTGCATTTTGTCTAGTCCCTTTTTAATTACAGAGGCTGTATTGTATACCTCACACCCATAGTAAATTTTAATTCTTATTAAAGTATAGAAATTTTCCTTAGATTATAACTTGTTGCTGCCCGAAACGAAACGTTCAAGTTAAAAGATTCATACAATTTAAAACGTTTGTACATCTTGTTTTAATATATTGAACATGACTTCTCCAAGTGAAGTCAGTTGTCTAACAAAAATAATGACTACAAATTTGACTAAACAACTTTTAAAATATGATTTCATATTTTCAATACAATACTATTGCCATTTGTTTTCCTGGAATACAATACTGTTACTGTTTTTGAAGGTAAGAGAAAAAAAAACAATTTGAGTACCATTTGCTTATACTATCCAAGTCTTCTTTAATTTTTTTCTGTAAAAATCTTAATGATGATTCAAATTTCCATATTGACCGTCATTTGCAAATTGTGACATTTCACAATTCTTTAAACAATCTGACATGCCATTAACCATAATATTAAAAAGTGTTGGACAATTTCCATAGGGGTACCAATTTCAAAAAACATAAATATCTGAAAAAGTATTGTTTATCTTAACATTTAAGACTCTATTTGAGAAAAAAAATATTAACTTTAGCAACCATGTTGCCTTTTGGTCCCATTTTTTTTTCTATAACCAATGTTTCCTCAGAATATCAAAAGCTTTTTGGAAATCAATAAATATTCCCACTGTAATGTGATTTTTAAAATATGATTTCATATTTTCAATACAATACTATTGCATTTTGTTTTTCTAGACAAAATACTGTTACTGTTTTTGAAGGTGAGAGCAAAAAAAAAACCCAAACTTTTTGGAAATCAATAAATATTCCCACTGTAATTTGATTTTTAACAAGATTTGGATTATATGATTTTTTTTTCCAAACACCATCTTAGTCTGTTGTTAACCATTTTTACATTATCATATTAAAATTAAATGTGAATGCAATAGGTCTATATGATAATGGATCACTTGGATTTTTCGCATGTTTAAAACTAGGAATAATTGTAGAATGTTTCCAATCCAAATTTAATTAATAAATAGTAAAAATATATCAACTAAGTGACGGAACATACTATAAGTTTTTGTATCTTTTCCCGGAGAGCTATCATTATTATCTGTTATTTCATCTTCAAATTCTTGTAATGTAAATTCTTCCATTATAACACTCTGTATTGATTTTTATAATATTCAATAGAATCATTTATTTTTTTTTCTTACCTTACAATTATATAAACTTTAAAATCATTTCCATTTCTCGTATGTCTTGATCTATTTCTAGCTTTAATAGCGGATGTGTACTCCTTTATCCATCATGGGACAAACTGTTTGTTTGTTTTTTTTCAAATTTCTTAATTGGAAAATGAAATATTTATTCATTCAGTAGTTAGTGTTGTTAGTTTTCTGTATATCAACTTATTAAATTCTCTGTAAATTTAATATCACATTCTTTTGTGAAGCTTTTCCAATTTGTTTTTTAGCTCACCTGACCCAAAAAGGCCAAGTGAGCTTTTCTCATCACTTGGCGTCCGTCGTCGTCCGTTAACTTTTACAAAAATCTTCTCTGAAACTATAGGCCCATATAAAACCAATCTTGGCCTAAATCATCCTTAGGGTATCTAATTTAAAAATGTATCCGATGACCCCGCCCATCAACCAAGACTGGGGTAAATGTCCATCAGGTCAAGATCTATCTGTCTAGTAATTATACCCCGCTTTAAAAAAAAGTAGGGGTATACTGTTTTACCTCTGTCTGTCCATCCGTCAGTCCATCCATCCATCCGTCAGTCCGTCCGTCCGTCCCATGAATATGTTTGTCGCATCTTTCTCATAACTACATTACAAGGATTTCTAAAATTTGGTTTCAGGGTTTGTATAACTCAGCTATACCGTGTGATGCGTTTTCAGATTCATCACTTAACAACTTCCTGTTTACCAAACACTTGTATCATTTTACACATGATACATGTGATAGCCAAGTTGAAAATTTTCGTCACATTTTTCACAGGAACTACAATACAAGGATTTCTTAAATTTGGTTTCAAGGTTTAAATTCTAACAATTTTACGGACGCCATCACGAGTTGGTTGACCGTTATGGAATAACCGTTTCACAGATGATATCGGATATGTTCCTTATGTCGTAACTACAATACCTTCCCTTTTCACGAATGTGACTTACCGAATTAGACTATTTACCGGATTTGTAATAACATAAGCAACACGACGGGTGCACCATGTGGAGCAGGATTTGCTTACCCTTCCGGAGCACCTGAGATCACCTCCAGTTTTTGATGGGGTTCGTGTTGCTTAGTCTTTAGTTTCCTATGTTGTGTCATCTGTACTATTATTTGTCTGTTTGTCTTTTTATTTTTGGCCATGGCGTTGTCAGTTTGTTTTCGATCTATGAGTTTGACTGTCCCTCTGGTATCTTTCGTCCCTCTTTTATATATGTCAGCTAAACCGTGTGATGAGTTTTCAGATTAATCACTCCACAACTTCCTGTTTACCGAGATATTTGGGCGGGGGTATCATCAGTGAGCAGTAGCTCACACTTACACTTGTTTTCTTACGCATCACACAATCCGTTGTTGGGTTGCTACCCCTGAATTGGTAATTTTAAGAAAATTTGCAGTTTTTGGTTATTATCTTGAATATTATAATAGGTAGAGATAAACTGTAACCAGCAAAAATTTTCAGCAAGTTAAATTCTACTGGGTCTAATAGAATTAAACTTAGCCACAATTTTCAATATTGTATCTTGATTGAAAAATGTATCCGATGACCCTGTGCTCCAACCAAAATGGCCTCCATGGCTAAAACTAGAACATAGGGGTTTACTTTAGAAGTCTGTGGGAAAATTGTAAAAAAACCAATTTCAAATGGTCACAACTTCAAAACTAATTTAATTAGTGATAAGGGGTCTTCAGTTACTATTGTAAGACTACAATGGGATGACCTGCTTTAAATTTAACTACTGGGCCAATTTAAACCAAACATGGCCTCAATAGTTATTAGGGTATCTAATACTATTTATTATGATTTTAACCTTATTTTACATTATTTCCAAAACCACAGTAGATACAGGTGAGCTTTACTACATGGGAAGATGGATATGAAACGCTTGCACTTACGAACATGTAGGTGGTAGGTATTGATTTACAATGTGTATAACACATAGCACATTGTCAGTAAAGAATTACAATCCTATTTGATATGATGAACTATTGGCTTTGAACGCCACTTTCACTACCAATGGGTATAGAAGTAAAGTACATTAAAATAAAGTAAACGAATTTAGGTCAATTTTTGTAAACAGACGTCGAACAGAAACAAAACAAATGCGAAGCTTATACCATTTTATATCACCGATCTTGATCATAATATATATTGATATGTTTCACTGTGGTCGCTGCATTGCAATACAATTGAAGGTTTTTAATACATAATGATATTACGGTTAGATACATCTTATTGGCATTCATCATAATATATAAGTTCGTTTTCTAAACAATCGAATTCACAAACTTCCGTCGGAGTGACATAAAAAAAATAGCAATAAGGAGCAAAATTGTTAAAACTGAGTAAATAGAATAATACAAAATATTTGACATCAATATGACTTTAATCAGAAGATGAAGACGATTGAGATGAATCATCATCTAACATATCTCTTTTGTTCTTTTCGGGATACTTTAGGATGATGTTTTTCATTTTATTCATTCTCATTTATATTACGGTTTTAGAATAGCTCTTTTTTATTTACGTTTCCTTTTCCATTTTGATTTCTTGTCTTATCACACTTTTTGGCGATTTTCCTTGCTCACATCAATTGTACGTCCTCATCAACGTCTTGTTCTTTTCTGATGATACCAGCAGGACCAAGTAGATATAAAACCAGTTTGGCTACAAAATGTTCAGAATCAAATGTTGGAACTTGTGTTATTACTATTATCAATCAAAGTATAAATTTATCGAGATCTTATTCTGTTAAAACAAACCCTTTGTTAATGAAATCTGTTCATGTTGTTCTAATAAATTTTGTATTAACTCTTAAAAAATGTTGTCCTTGCTTCTTTTACTGAACATTTTTCTTGACACACCTTTTTGATAATCTTATAATTTTCTATTGTGTTAAGACATTCCTTACTAGTGACTGGTTGGTCACCTTTACTATTGGCACATTTTGCCTTTTGTTTGCATTCTATGCCTATGTCATCTTCACCACACCTTAGACATTCGACCTTATTCCTGCATTCCCTTTGCATGTGTTTTCTTGTCTTTTAAATCACTGCGTGGGTTTAGGTACAAATAGTTTGTTTTATAACTCTTAAACGCTATTTTACGCTCTAGTAGGTATCTCGTCTGTACCGAAAAATAATTAAGGAGTCATTGATGGTACCCTGGTTTTACTACTTTTGTCAAAATAAGTTAGTCTTATCATTTGCCTTGTTGTTTCTCAAGTACTTCCTTTAAATTCTGTTCGTCTATATTTAGAGGAACATTATAAATAGAATCTATAGTACTACTCAGCTATTTAGGCTCTAAAACATTTATTGACCATTGTCCTAATTGTTTCAGTTTTGATAATTGAGTGAACTGGTTTTTATCAAAACCTAATACCAGTAAATGACCTGTACTTGTTGCACTAAGGTATTTTAGAAAATAAACATCGTATTGGCATTAACCATATAAGTTCGTTTTCTAAACAATCGAAGTCACAAATTTCCGTCGGAGTGACTTAGAAAAATAGCAATAAGTAGCAAAATTGTTAGACACTGAGTAAATAGAATAATACAAAATATTTGACATCAATATGACTTTAATCAGAAGATGATGACGATTGAGATGAATCATCATCTAACATATCTCTTTTGTTGTTTTCGGGATACTTTATGATGATGTTTTTCATTTTTTTATTCTCATTTATATTATGGTTTTAGAATCGCTCTTTTTTATTTACGTTTCCTTTTCCTTTTTGATTTCTTGACTTATCACACTTTTGGGCGATTTTCCTTGCCCACACCAATCATGCGTTCTCATCAACGTCTTGATCTTTTCTGATGATACCAGACGGACCAAGTAAATCTTAAACCAGTTTAACTACAAGACTGACTTGTTCAGTATCAGTTAATGTTGGAACTTATGTTATTACCATTACCAATAAAAGTATATATTTATCGAAATCTTTTACCTGTAAAAACAAACCCTTTGTTAATGAAATCTTTTCATGTTCTATATTAATTCTATTCTCTTTACTCTGTAAGGGATTTTGTTTTAAATCTTTAAGAATGTGTGTTCTTGCTTCTTTAACTGAACATTTTTCTTGACTCAACTTTTTGATAATCTTATTATTTTGGATTTTCTTAGGACAGTCTTTACTAGTGACTGGTTGGTCATTTTTACAGTTGGCACATTTTGCCTTTTGTTTGCATTCTTTGCCTATGTGCTCTTCACCACATCTTACACAGTTGACCTTATTACTGCATTCCCTTTTCATGGGTTCAAACCCATTGTCATTTGAAACACTGCGTGAGTTAGGGTACACATAGTTTTGTTTTATAAATCTTAAACCCAATTTACACTCTAGTAGGTATCTCATTTGTACTTAAAAATAATTAAGGAGTCTTTGATGGTAACCTTGTATTCTTACTTTTGTCAAAATAAGTTAGTCTTATAATTTAACTTGTTGTTTCTCGTACTTACTTGATTATAAATACAACTTATAGTAGTACTCATCGATTCAGGCTGAAAAACATTGATTGACCATTGTCCTATTTGTTTCAGTTTTGATAACTGAGTGAACTGGTTTTTATAAAAACATACTACCTGTAAATGACCTGTTCTTGTTGCACAATACCTATAGTAGAACTCATTAATTTTTGTATCAGTATTGGATTTTTTAATCCAAGTTTTTCGTCTCCATTAGGCACAATCAATACATAATTTTGGGCTGATTTTGACAATTCACTAGTCCTGTCCCTGGGGCTTTTTTTTATTAAAGTATCCTGTAATACACTACTATATGAGTCATGCTATTGAACATGTATAGCGTTGCACACAATGTTCCTATAACACGACGTTGCACAAAAAATGTTTACCCTTAATTCACCTTAAAATACTGTATTGTCGTAAGTAATGTAGAAAGGATAAATGGGACTGAAGTATACGGTTTTCCATAAATAAATTCAAACAAAATTTTGGATGTACAAAACATTAATCACAGGCTGCTAAAATGTCATAGTGCATATCAAATGTCATTGTAAATTTTCCATATCTTGATTCAACCCCAATACAAATATTTCTGACACTCTGCAAGTAAATCTTTTTTTTTACCCTTGATTAGTTTGAATTGATTTTTGCTTGACACACATCTGCCAAAAGACAATCCTTAAATTCCTTGAACCCCAGCTTGAAATTATTTCCCCCATCATCTAAAGTTTCTTGCTTAAAGTTTTTTAACATCTGATATACGTTGTCGTTTGTTTCTGTTGTTTCGTTGTTTTCCTTCTATGGTTGATGTGTTTCCCTCGTTTTTAGTTTGTAACCCGGATTTGTTTTCTCTCAATCGATTTATGACTTTTGAACAGCGTTATACTACTGTTGCCTTTATTTATACACTTTAAAATGTAGTTATCTTCTCCTGGATATTCCGTAAAAACGGCTTATATAATCCCGTATTGTATAAATTCAATGAAACTGTTTTTGTCGCTGTTTGCAAAAAGTCTTTCGGTGACCTCCGTTTCGTGCACAAGTTTATATCGAAGAAAAGGTCCGCTTTCGCTAGTACATGAATTAGTTTCATCACGACAGTTATAACATGAGTAGCAGGACAAGTCGCGAACTAAAACATTTCGAGGACTTGTACTTTTAATTTGGTGAATGCACCTTACTGAAAGGACGACTTTAAATTATCTATATCTATTTCGGAATACTTCCGCCATATAACGAAAGATTGGCCTTTTTATAGAGGACTGTCGTTGTGTCTCCAAATTTTCTTTGCAAAAGTGTTCATATCATTGGCATTCTGAACCAAACATTTGCCTCTAGCAACAGCAAAATCAGCTTGATTTTTTATCAAACCCCCTGCTGCATCTTGTACTCCTTTGCATGGGATGTTTCGAAATATTATCGACTATGTTGAACCCAAAATCTTGTTCTGAATAGCTGAAATCCCAGAAACAGTGCCTTGGTTTATCGTGTATATACTGCGTTGCGCATAATTTTTACATCATAGTTAATAGAGATTAGGTTATCCGTTTTTTGCCGTTGCGCCTCGTGTGAAAAATTATGATCATGAACTTGTTCCTTTTTTTTTACGTTAAATAAGGACAAGCAATAGTTTGGCATGAAATCTATTTCTACAAATAAATAGATATTCATCTTCATGTGGTCTTTGGATTTGAAAAAGAGTGCCATCTTATTCCCCCACAACGTTTGGAAACCTTTCAAGTTAGTGGAAAGCTTCTTTTGGAGCGTTTATTGCCTTGGGGTAATTTGATATTATTCATCATAATACAAACGGAAGTTTCGTTTCTTCCACACACCTGTTTACAGAATATTTGGAAATTCCGTTAATATCTGCAATTTCCAATAGAAAATCTTCCTTTACCATAACACTTGCAATAACCATTACCTCAAAATGTGGTTAAGAAGCTCTGTGTAAAGTTTACCATTCAAAATAATCATATTTATTACTAGTAAGTGATAGTTATTTTTGTTTTGATTAACTCAATAAAATGAACAAAATGAATATTATTTAGGAGAGATCGTTTATTTGAAGTACTCCCATATCAAGCCAGAGGGTCCTTGTCTTGAGGAATTTTTGTGCCATTTGTACCATAAAAAATCTACTAATTGACTTCTGAATTGATTTGAAGCTTTCGGGTCCATTTCCCTCATTTTTCTGTGATCGGACTGAAAAACCAGGCTAGATACTGATTCATTTTCGCTGAAGGTATGTCCTCCGTTACCCGTAGCTCATTATCCTCCTTCACCCATTAAGTAGTTATTTTCAAGTCACGTTTATTCTTTTTTTTTTTATTTTTTTTTCAATTCTTCAATTAATTTACTGGCATCGTATTTTGAAACTTACATAACTCTCTCCCGATTCCAACTTCTTTATTGGTTTAATTGGCAGGTTTACCGGGAGTGCAATTTGGATATTCGAGGGCAAATATAAATATTGGCCACGACTCCGACTTGCGGCTTTTATTGGACATGCAAATATGTACATTTAAGTACAAAATATATGGTATTATGATTTATTACTGTTGCTTTGATGGTAGTTGTGTATTTTTTTCTATCGATCTAGGTCAAAAGGGAGAGGTTGGTAAACCCTGCGCCACGCAACATATTGATTAACTTTTTTTTGACTTTATTGAAAAGCACTTTACGCCCATATGGGCCAATGGCTTAAAACATTTTACATGATGTACAGTATATATATATATATATAAAACAATGAAATTAAACAGTGCAGACACTTTCTACTATAATCCTTGTCTTTCTTTAAATCCATATATATATATATATATATACATATAAGAGATTCAAATACTATCAAGGACGCCATGCCCTCAGTCTTAGTGACTTTTTTAAAAAGGAGCCTAATTTGTTAGTGTCCTGTTTTGTTTCTGGATTGAGGAAATGCTTTAATTTATCTATATCGTTTAAGTTATTATATTTATTTTCAATTACAAATTCTTTTCTTATTTGTTCATTTATTTTACATTTAAAATAGAAATGGAACTCATCATCCCAATGTATACATAGTGTTAAAATCTCTGGGAATTTTCCTGTATCTACCAGTTTCTATTAATAAACAGTGGTCACTTATTCGAAATTTACAAATTAATTGTCTATGTTCAAAGTTTTGGGAGAAAAGATATGGTTCAAAGTTATAGCTTTTTTTATTTTTTTAAAAAGTTGGAGTTTACTATTCTCTTGTAAATTTGATATTTTATCATTACATAAATTTTCATAGGAGTTTTCTAAATTTTGTTTGTATATTAGCCTATTATTTTTATCCTTATTTTGGTTAACAATTTCTAAATCATTTTGACTTCTGACATGATTAACATAGGAGTACCAAGAATAAATACCTGAATTATGTAAAGTTTTTGCCAAATTTAGTGTTTCTTTTAGTAGGGGACTAGTTTCTTCCCTTAAAAGTCTATCATGAAAAAGAAGAGTTTGTCTTTTTGTAAAGCAATCAATAGGGTAGCTGCCTAATTCAGGTCGAACAGCTATATTACAAGAGCATTGTTTTACTCCTAAAGTTAACTTATTAAAGTTATTTAGTACTTTATCAGTCGGACTTTTGTCAATGAAATTAAGAGTATCTACTTTTTTTATTATTTTGACCTCCTCTAATTGAAGCTTTATAAAAGGATGAGTATGTATCCATATACCATATTTCACTGTTATAAGTTAATATTGGTCTAACGAGTGAGTTAAATAAATGGTTTGACAAAGTCACAGGAGTCTGATGAATTGAATTACAATATGTTTTAATAGAATACATTACTTTCATAGATTTTTTAGCTAATTCTTGTGCTGAAGGAAAATGATTTCCATTCTGACTAATAATATTCCCAAGAAATTTAAACTTTTGCATTTGCTTTAATTTATCACCATGATAATCAAAAGAATGGTTAAGATTTTTCCTATTGTTACTTGTGCTTAAAGTCATAGTTCTAGTTTTTTTACAGTTTACAATTAACTGCCATTAATGTGACTGTATGAAAACAGTTTGCTTCGCTTTGATGTGTTTTGTCATTTCTAAACGTGGGTTTATTCCTTTTAGCTCACCTGACCCAAAGGCATCGAGATTTAAATCTTAATAAAACATGACCAAGTATTGTCTAACCTATACAAGATTAATTACAGATAAATAAGAAAATATAAAGTATGAAATACAATAAACAAGGTAAATGAAACTAAATGAAACATGAGAGACAAAATCTTTAAACCATAGTTTAATTTTAGAAAACCTTGAAATAATAAATACCTTACTTATACTGCTAACTACGTCTCGTCATGTTGTTTCTGGTTCAACTTATTCCGCCTTTACAACATAGAAAAAAAAAACACAGTATATATAGTCTAAATACAAGGTCAAACTAGCCAGTACCAAATAAAATAACTATTCAGAAAAGTAGTTTGTCTAATAGCCAGTACAGAGTGAAAATCAAACAACCTACATCATGTACATGGAGTTATTGGATTCACTAAATCATATAATACATAATGTGTTCAATATAGTTAAATAATGATGATATAAGGGTAAAATAAATATAAATGAAGTACAAAGTTGGGAATATAATCAAATATGTTAAATGTACATCAATCTACTCGTGCACATACTCCCCAGCTAAGTATATAAATTGTCTCTATAAATATTTATATCCATATACTCCTTTTACCATCATAATGAAAAACACAAAACTAAGACACAAAAAAACAAATGTAAAACAAATATCCTGAATGAATTTACTTACAAAAAACTGAAATTGGATGTGTATGTTTTCTGTAGTTGTCCAGTTGTTCGTATATATATAAACGTAATATCTGCACGGTTTGAGTCACTGTTGTTGTAATCCACAGATTGTTTTTTTTATTACATTTAATAACGTGTTTTAAAACGATTCAAAGTTTTAGAATCACAAGTGCCATCATCAGGTTCTACATTATATATATACTTGGTACATAAAAGATGAAATTGTATGGCATCTTGAGGTTGGCGTTTCCAGACCACCTTTCACATTGTCGATCTTGACGTTGAAACCTACACTATTTTATTCACTTCCGGTCTGTTATAAAATCAAAGGATGTCGTCGATCACTCTTCGTTCTTTCCTTTCTCTAGCTGTTACCCTCGTTAACAAACATGAACGCAGCCATTTTATGAAACGATCAAAATCTTCGCGAAACAATGCGAATTGGGTCTATCAAATATCTAGTTTTTTTCGGTAGATCATCCTTTTAACAACCAGTTTGATAGGGGAGAAAAGTATAATAACATTGAATTGATAGTAAATATAGGAATTGAAACACTTACCGGCATAAAAAAAACAAAAAAAACGAATGTCAACAGACAAAAATTGCAAGTAGAAAATCCAAGTTTTCTAATAAACACATTACAATGACTTTTCATATTGAAGGTATATTGCAAAATAAATATCTCTAGGTCTGGGGTTAAGTTGTACTTTACGGACTGACATCGTGCACAGAAAAATGATAAATTCAAAACATAGTTTTGAACTACTGAATGAGAAATTGTGAATGATTTATGGTACAGTTTCTTAGTATTACGTGTAAGGGATAAACCTATATCCATTGAAATGTTGGTCATTAATATCGGTTATGAAGATAACGTAAACAAGCGTTATTTTAAGTTAAAAATATAAATACAATTATGTCATCGGTGTAATATTTCTGCGATGAATGATATCTAAAATACCAGTTTCAACACGGACACAGATTCTTATTTTAAACCTGTATTCACAACAACAATAAATTTAAATCTAAGCCAAACAAAGGATCCGTTGTCATTGAAAAAAGAACATACGCAAATATAATAACATTCCTGTGTTAAAGTACAAACTCTGAGGTTAGATTATAATAATTATCTTTGATGACTTTTAACAGATACAAATATCTTGAAAAAAGACGAGCATTGGTTGTTAAAAGATAAACAAACATCTGAATTACATTTGATACTGCCCATTCAGTTACACATTTTTAACACTCATTGTTATGATGTATCAATTGTCCTTCTATTGTCAATGTCAATCAATACATTACGACACAGTTGTAACATGAGAGGGGAAATCTCACTGATTTAACTCAACTTAATTTATTTCATTCTGAAACACAAAATGCAATTAACTTTAGCATAGCTAGCGGATGTCAACCCTAAAAACTGTTCCAAATGCAGTTTTTTTGTATTCTGAGTGAATTTATGGTGTTAACACAGCCATGCATGCTCGTCCATTTGTTATGATGAACATTTAGAGCTTGTTATACTGTACCGTAGGACCTTCGACACTGAGTAACACTCTTAACGTAAAGCAAGCTATAAAAAGAACCCTTAAATAATATACAAATCACAATATGACCAACAGCAACTGGATAACAGGCTCCTAATTTGGGACAGATTCATTAAGAATGATGCTGTGTTAATCATATTTGTCAGTGTTCAACTTTGTCTAGGGGAGTTGAAACAAAGATGACCTTACGTTAATTTGGCTATTATTTTAGGTCTTTTTCGGTTATGTACTTCTTCGACTGTTTAAGTTCTCATACATCCTCAGAATTCAATTAATCGGATTTGGACGTACCTGATTATCTATAAAGTGTAACTGTAAAACCATACCTATTGCGAGTCTTTGTGTACACATAGACGAGTCTACTTCCCCCATTGACGTGTAAAGCTTGATCGTCAGTACGCCATGAAAATAAAAACTTCAGATAAGCCGACTAGCAACTTTTGTCTTCCATTGATGACTTTCGAAAACATTAATATGAGAATTCTCCTTGCGTCTGTCCAAAGTGAGGAACTTCTGCCCTTTCTTAGTCTTGTATGTTTTTCTTTTTTTTCTTTCTATTTTTGTTTTTTTTATGTTTCAGAGTTAAGTGTGACGGTAACTTTTTCTGAACCAGTATACATTTTTGTTTAGGGGCCAGCTAAACCCTGCCTCCAACGGATTTTCTCGCTGTGTTAAAGAACTATTTGTGGTCTTTGGCTGTTTTCTGCTCTTTGATCGAGTTGATGTTTTTTTGACACATTCTCAATTTCTTTTTTATTTAAAATTCGTTTCCAATCACATCTGAATACCTTTGATGTAAAATCCGTTGCTCAAGTTCTGAATTTTAGTACTGAACGTTTTTTTTGCAATAATTGACTAGTAATATGATTTGTATCCCGGTGCCGCGTGCATGGCATGATAAGAAATAACTTTTATTTCTAACCTCTTATAATCATCTTTAATGATGTAATGCACAGGGGCATGAAGAACAATAAAATTGAGAATGGAAATTGGGAATGGGTTAAAGAGACAACAACCCGACCAAAGAGCGTAAAACAACCGAAGGCCACTAATGGGTCTTCCATACAGCGAGAAAACCACGCACCCGGAGGCGTGCTTTAGCTGGCCCCTAAACAAAAATGTGTACTAGTTCAGTGATAATGGACGTCATACTCAACTCCGAAATATATAAAAAAAAAAAACTAAAATTAAAAATCATACAAGACTAACAAAGGCCAGAGGCTGCTGACTTGGGACAAGCGCAAAAATGTGGTGGGGTTAAACATGTTTTTTTTAGATCTCAACCCTCCCCCTATACCTCTAGCCAATGTAGAAAAAAAAACACCCAGCAACAAGTATATTTTGTCACCAGTTGTCACCTTTTTAACACATACACGGCATAAAGGAAATTTATTTATTGGAGTGAATCTTTTTGATAGATTCACCGACCCAATAATGCTGTTAATACAGCTGATCTTGTTAATTTGTGACGTAAAAGATAATAAATCAGGAAGTATTAATAGGGTTGTTATGTAATTTTTAACGTAATGCACGCATCCGTGTCAATTTGTGATATAAATACTAAATAGAACCTTCGCCTTCGGTATATCAATGTTTTATATAATTTGGTTGATATTCGTTGTTTTTGCGAATACAAATAAACAACATTTTAATCAATACGGTAAGTAAGCTCTTGCTTATTTTTACAATGTGATTAGAGAATAAAGACTTTAAACGGGAAAAAATATAATTAAAATTAAAACAGAAAGAAAAAGCAGTTACCCAAAAGCTAAACAGATAGCTTGTTTTTCGAAAAATATAGATTCTAACAAACTATCGTACGCCTGCAAAGTTGGCCGCTCATTCAGTCACGAGACAAAACCGTTACACAATCAACACAATCTTCGTTACAAAGTTCACATTCATCTTCCAAAGTAAAAGAAATTTTAGTTTCAAATGATCAAGCTTCCGGAAAACATGACAGTTAAAGTAGTGAAAAAATTGAGGCCACGAATACTGAAAAGGAAAAAGCAATCCACACATCTGTCCCCATATCGTAGTTTAAATCATAAGGGAGGCACAAAATCACCGTTGAGATCATCCTTCCAGAAATCTGAGAGGCGATCGCGAGATAAGGGGCGAGGTGGAAAAACATTATCTAGAAAATTGAGTCAAAGAGAGAACGTACTCTCTTCCAAAGATAGTTTTGCTGGTTTAGTGGATCGCAGATGGAATATTGTGATGATGTTGTTTCATCAGAAAAATCATAATCACAGGACAATCGAAAGAAACATGCTGGAAAACTTGATTACAATGTGCATTCATCCTTCAAATTCATAAACTATATGGAATTATCGAGGTCTCAAAATAAAGCTTCTTCAGTTAACACTTTTATATCAGTCTTTTTTACCAGTTGTATTTTGTCTTCAAGAAACTCACTCAATTTTATGCGACTGTCATACAAGTGAGAGGTTTAGCGAGCTATTAAACCAGGTTTAATCCACCATTTTCTTATAAGAAAATGTCTGTACCAAGTGAGGAATATGACACTTGTTTTCCTTTCGTTTGATGTGTTTGAGCTTTGACTTTGCCATTTGCAAAACATTTTATTATCTATAAACCCCCAAGGTTGAAAGGGGAATAAAAGTATGATCACTTGGTCTTCTTCCGACCGGCAGTAAAACGATTGCCAAAATGGGGCGTTCGTTTGTCTGTGTGGAATGTGCAAAAACCCTTGCAACAATTATTTGAGGGGTCCGTGGGTGGCCTGTTGCAAGGCACAATGTCTGTCCCTATCCAATATACCCTCATTTTCCAGTGGCAGTCCAAATTTTTTCCGACCTGAATCCAGGATGGCCTCTATTACAAGACCTACCTATTGAATTTATTGTTAATTTTTTCTTGTCCTGAACATGCATGAAATATTTGCCACTGGACGTTAAGCAACCAACAATCAATCAATCGTATTTATAATTATTTTAATGTACAGATGTTTCAACAAAAATACATCTATGTTCTACAGTTATATAGATTTGATAAAGTGCAAATATAAAACTATTGTTTAAAATTGATATAATATAAGAGATAGATACAGAAATAGGTGTAGTTTGCTTACAACTTGGTCAAGTATGGTTCAGACACGTGTAAAAGGGTTAAGTACTGGTAGAGTATAGTTCAAGTACAAGTTCTGACTGTTAAGTATAGTTTGGACTTCAGTGGAGTAATATCGAGTAAATTTCAGACCAATTCAGACTGGTCGAGAAAAAAATCAGTAAGTCGAGTACAGATATAGCAATTTCAGATTGTTACTGGTTTGTAGCGTATGCCGTTACTATAAAAAAAAAATAAGATGTTGAATGATTGCCAATGAGACAACTCTCCACAAGAGACCAAATGACACAGAAATTAACAACTGTAGGTCACCGTATGGCCTTCAACAATGAGCAAAACCCATACCGCATAGTCATCTATAAAAGGCCCCGAAATGACAAATGTAAAACAATTCAAACGAGAAAACTAACGGCCCAATTTATGTATAAAAAAGGAACGAAAAACAAATATTTTACACAACCACTGAATTACGGGCTCCTGACTTGGGACAGGCCCATACATACAGAACGTGGTGGGGTTAAACATGTTAGCGGGATCCAAACCCTCCCCCTAACCTGGGACAGTGGTGTAACAGTAGAACATAAGAACGAACTATAAAAATCAGTTGAAAAAGGCTGAACTCATTAGATGGATACAAATAGAAATACATCTAACAAAAACACAGAGTGGACGTGGCCGGGTACTTGTATATCCCAACAACAAAAAGACGCTAAGTACAGATCTGAGAGTACTCGCAGTTACTGACAGCTAGTTTAAAGCCACTATCAACTGATAAAAAAAATCATGTATATAAAACTATATTATAAATCAGTACACATCCAACATCCAATGGATTTAGTGTAAAAGACTTCATAAACAGTCAGAGAAAAACATGACCTTGTGCAATGCCAAGATACAGGTATAGTCAGATTGTAGATCCATGAATGTGTATATGTATATAACAGTAATATTTAGTTTGCTTTTAATTCAATGATAAAATTACAGTATTGAATTGGTAACCTTTTAGAATAAGTTTATTGAAAGGATCGATAAGTGTACCAGGATCGTTTCTAAATTTCCGGGCACGGTAAACAACATCTCCGTAAAAATGAGGTTGTACTATCCCGTTTGTATAAGTTTTCTTCAGGTACAACCAAACTTCAAAATCAAATCTTTATATCTATGGAAGAATTTAGTAAAGGTTTTAATTAGTTTGTGGTAACGAAATCCATGGCTCAATAATTTACCAGTAATACATAGATTACGTTCGTTAAAATCAAAAACGTCACAAAAGACACGGACATAGCGAACGAGTTGTGCAATATAAACACCAAAAAATGGTGCCAAAGGATCATCACCATCCAAAAAGGAAAAAAATTAACAATAGGGAACGAAAAATCGTCCCTTTTATCATAATTTTATCATAAATTTTAGTGTGAAGTTTCCCGTGTAAAACCGAAATATCTAAATCTAGGAAAGGACAGTTATTACCGTTCAATTTTGATTTATTTAAAGTAAGTTCCTTGGGTAAATTTCGGCAGTATATTTAGAAAATCATTGATTATTTAACAAAAAAATATCAAGATAACGGTAAGTGTTGTTGAATTATTAATTAAATGCAATAAAGACGGGTCCTTACTGAGTTTGGTAAAAAAAATTGTGATTCATAACAGTACAAAAACAAGTCTGCTATTAACAGGGGCGCAATGTGTGCCCATTGGAATGCGTATAAAATGTCGAAAAACTTTGTTGCCGAAACTTACATCAATATTATCAAGGAGAAAATTAACAGCCTCAATCATCTCACCACACCTCCAGTAAGTATATCTAGAATATTTACCTTTCTCATTAGAGAGGAAGGCTTTAATGAATTGCAGCAAATATATTTGCATTCAGATTTACCAAACGACCATTCAATTAAATAGGAAAACTTTTGTTTGATAAGATTGTGTGGAAGTGTAGTGTAAAGAGTAGAAAAGTCAAAACGGTCAACAGAATCAAAAGGACCACGAAAAGCACGTAATTTATCTAAAACATCCAAAGAATTGTTTACACTCCAAAATAGTTAATTCCACTATTTTCATATATTTTATTACAATAGTTTATGATAATTCAATAGTAGTTAAGGAATTTGTTAAAAGCACTGAAATATTAGTTGTAGAACACTTACAAGAGGCAGAGATAAAACGATATTTTACTGGTTTTTTTGTGTAATTTATGTTACCCATACATAGTAGGGACCTTCAAATGTTCAACTTAAGCTGTGATGTGGTCATGATATGTTTGTTTACTATATGACTCTCTGTGGAGTGAACGTACTTGAATGTAGATGAATTCATTCTTAAGAACATCCGTGTAGTATTTACGGCATACCACCACCACATTGTTGGCTGCTTTGTCGGCAAGTACAAACACAAACCGCTTTGAAAGTTCTTGAAGTTTATTTCTTATTCTGGAAAAAGGCGTATTATGTACTTTTTTTTATTTATTTCTGAATTATTTTCAAAATGTGATATTCTATTATCCACAACATTCATACATTTATTTAAATAAGAATCAAGAGGATTTTATCAGATTTTTCCCGTTTAGACCATTTTTTTACAAAACGATGAAAGAGCGTCTTTGGTGACCTGACGACACTGTTTCCAATCTAATTTATATGGAGGAAGATATTTTGGTCCTTTTTTTTCAAAAAGTTTTTAACCATCTGTCCTAGACGATATTGAGGTCCCCCGTAATAACATGGCCATAGGGATCATATCTAAACTTCGACGATTCACAGTGTCAAGTTAAAGGAGTATTATTTTCTACATTGACGTCAGATATTACCGACGTATGATTAAAAATTAAACTTCTGCTCGATTTTTGTATGTGTACGAAATAATAGGTGGTTCTGTGTTATCAAAAAAGGGAGGTGTAGAGTCATTAAATATACTCGATAAGTTGATACAATTAATACCTCTGTAAAATATATTTAATTTTCAGAAAGTGCCGTTTATGATCTTCAGGTTTTTTTTATACGCGGGAACAGCCTATGGTGGCAAAAAGCTGTAATTATACGCGAATATTCATAGAGTGAACTGATGAAAGAGATATTGTCACACTCCTTGAAAATATCATGTAATTTACTAATTGGTATTTGACCCAGTTTACATAATAATTGATGCCTACCATTGTTTTCAAATATAGATAGGAGATTACCAAGTGTTTAATTTATACGATGTTTAATTCGTTAATTTCGATTACGTTTGTTTCGTTTGATCCTAAAATATATATTTCTATCAGTACAAATAGAAGTTATAAACGTCGTGTGGAAAGAATTTTGAATTTCGTTTAATTAGGTCTTACAACTTTTCGGTGGAAAATCCCTAACACGTTTTCTCTGATTATAAGGTGTTTCCATTTTAACGTGGAAAGAACTTAAAAATTGGTTCAGATTATCCGATATTTCCACTTTTACGTGGAAAGACCTTTTGATTTTGTTCTGACTTTTTTCACCAAATATTTTTCATTTTCCTACACTGTTTTGGTGTCCCGCAAGATGTTTGTTAGATATTTGGTATACGATATTGAACGCTTTCTACGCTTTTGAAACTTGACATTGCTTACCTGAAGGCTTTTTGTGGCTATGTTCGTGTGACCATTATCTGTCGTTCCGTCATTCTGCAACTTTTTTTCTAAACACCTTCATATATTGAGCAGATTTTAGTATGCGAGTCTACTATTATGCGTTACAGATCGAGTTAATGCACCGCTCATTTTTGCCGAAATTACGGGCTTTGGAAAATTTCGTGAAAATATCAGTTATGCGGTTTCTCATTCTCAAATGTCTACTTAAAATTACTCTAAGCTATATTAGCGCGATGGGGCATTCGTGTCGGTCCGTCACATCTAGTCTTAATAGCCTTATAAGAATGTTTTACCCAAGCACTGTTTTTTTTTGTGTGTACTACTTCTTCGTTACTTTTATAGAAAAGGGGGAAAATGTAAAACTGCTCGCTATTTCCAGTTTAGTATTTGAAATACTTTGAATTCAGTGATAAGTGGATTTTCCAAAATCTGATCCTATAGCCATTTTTCACTTTTTCAACATGTTTTTTTAAATCACCAAAATGAAAGCTATCGGATGACCTGAAATGTGATTTTTTAAACCGGAATTAAACTACTTTCTCACTTACTGTAAATAAATGAACTACAAACACTTTTTTGAAATCTGTGCAATATCAGTAATCTTGTGCCACTGTTTTTTAAATATCAAAGCAACTTTCTTGTAATAATAAGTAATGCTTGAAAACGTATATAAAAAAGTTCATTGGAAACTTCATTCAATTCAATTCAATTCAAATATTTATTGTCATATAAACTCTTAACAATAAGTTTGTGACAAATTATATAAACATACACAAAATACATTTCACAAACAAACCCATAGGAAAACATATCCAATAAAACATAATTATTGAACATGTGCGCATCTCACGTACCAAATTATAAGCTTGGTATTTAAGATGAGATGTAACTGATGTGAATGTAATCTGTATCAGAAACCTGATGTTTGATGTAATAAGTCTTATTTGCCATATCAATGTCAGAATCTGATTAAACTTATTAACAGTATCAGATGCGTTGGAGTAAAACTTTATTCAGTATCAGCCATCTGATGTAAATGTAGCCATAGTTGGACTCAATATGTGTAATCACTATTTGATGGCTAATGGAAACTTTATCCAGTACTAGATTCCCAATTGTATGAAGTCATAGTAGAATGGCAGATATGTTATCAGCATTTTTTTAGTTATCTCTTGATCGTCAACATCCCAGTTATGACGAATAAGTATCAATAATGTGTATGTCATTAGTACCAAACCGAAGCACTATTAGATGCTGGTTGTAAAATGTAATTTAAATGTATACACCTTTTTAACTACTGCATTAATATTTCTGCTGTTTTCATTATAGAAAAAAGAGGACATTGAGATCTTAAACGGGAAATTAAGAAAATGGACTTTGCGCAGAAAGATGATATCAAAGAGAGTATCAGAGGTATACTATTAGTTCACTTTTTTTAAATGTTGTAACGCCAATGATGAGAGTACCAACATTGAATTGTGAACATTCTTTGTAACTTTGTATGTTTAGTCATCCTTGGCCCTGAAACCAGTTTCCTGTTGTAAATGTTATCAGCATCAAATGACTGATGCAAATGTCATCTGAATCATATATTACCTGCTGAAATATGCTGGTTGCCATATATACAATGTATCAGCATTATGCCTAAGGTCATAGGAATCAGAGTTATATGGCTGAGGTAAATGTTATCAGCGTCAGATGTCTGATAATGTTTATTGATAATTTTTTTGTCTTTGTTCTTGAATATACCATCTTTTCTGTTCTCATTCTAGAAAAACAAGATCTTAAACATAAATTCAAGAAAAACAAAACTTAGCAGGAAAATTTTATCCCAAGGAATATCAGAGATATAATATAGGTTCCTGTTTTTTTAAGATTTTGTACCGTCCTCAATGACAGCACAACAGTTATTTGTAAACATGTAACTTTGTATATTTAGTCCTTTGTTTGTCTAAAAGCTTCCACCACTAACATGAGATGAATGTCTTCCTTATGGCCATGGTCATGACAAACATTTCATTTTCGTGCACACGAATGGCAACCAAATTACACGTTGAAAATGGATGATGAACGTAAAAGTGGTGAAAATTAACAAAATCTATACGAACAGTAGTATCAACATTTGAACTTGTAATTGAACTGATACACTAACTTCGTTCATGTTTTGTTTGCAATCGTGTGTATCAACACATAAATAACTAGTTTTATTTAGATCAATTTAGAAAAAGCTAGTGGGAACGTGTTCTTGAATTTCTGTTTTATAACTTTTATATTCAAGATATTGTCATGGAATATACCTTTCTTTCATCATCATAGAAAAAGAAGAAAATTCAGATGTTGAACAAAAAATTAAGAAAAGGGAAACTGAGCAAGAAGAAGTAAATTCAAGGAATATCCGAGGTATAAAAGATTTTAACATTATCAAGTAACAATAGTGTAAATTTGAACATTTTTTTAAAATGATTTGAGATAATGAAAGAAATCTGCATTTAAAATAAGCATTTTCTTTGAAATTTGTATTATATTTGAACTCATTTTCTAATGAAATTCATGAGTAGTTGCACCTGTTTATTTATCCGTATTACCTATTTTCGTATAAAATGTCTCCCTTATGCATTGCTCTGATTCCTTTTCAGGGTTTGGCCTTACTCTTTTGTCCTTTTCAGTTTTAAGTCTGATGTTCAAAGTTTTGATGATCTTTCAAATATTTAATCACTGAGCATTACTTAAGAGGCGTTTATTGTCGAAATGCGCTTCTGGTGCAATTAAATTGATACCGTCAATGTTTTTCATACTTTTAAATTATTTTGAAAAAAAAAAGTACAAAGATAAAAAAAAATGGACAAATGTCGCATCTAAGGAAAATGTGCAATAACCACAATCATGCATTGAAGAAAACATTTTTTCAAAAGTACAAAAGTCAATACATGTTTCGATTAACAAATCTACTTAGATAAGTATTGCTTGCCAGCTGTAAAGGGACGACAGTTTGCTTTTCAGTGAGACTTGTCATTGTAAGTTATGCGGGTGCATTTTATATTTCATTGATGTTTCCTGAGAAATTTAAGTAGTCATCTCCCAAAATTGTCAGCATATGTTGACGAAGCGCATTTGACGAACCAAATTAAAAGCTTGGTATCGTCGATGAGTTATACCAGTTTCCTATAAATCATATCTGCATTAAACATGTTAGATGGTTGATGTCAATGTAATCTGCATCAGAAACATGATGAAAAATGTTTTAAGTACTATCTATTATAAATAAAATGTTTATAGTATCAGCAATTTTCCTAAGGTAACTGTTATAAAAATCTTATGGCTGATATAAATGTTATTAGCGTCAGAAATTTGATCACTAGTATGTTAATAATTCTGTTTTTAACTTTACTATTTGTCATAGAAATTACCATATTTCTGTTCTCATTCTAGAAAAAGAAGAAAATTCAGATCTTGAACAGGAGATTAAGAAATACGAAACTAAGCAGAAACCGGTTAATTCATGTATTTTAAACATTTTGTATCGTCATCAATTTGTGCACATGCTTTTTAACTTCGTATGTTCATTCTTTGTAAGTTACAAAAGTCCATCACTAAGATATTAAGTCAAGGGATTAAATCATTTGGGACAGATAATTGTCTTATTTTAAACTATTTTTGATACGTATAGACACACATTTGACTAGAAGGGACAGCACAATTGTTCAACAAGTTTTCCATTACCAATTCAATTAAATTCAAATTTTTATTGCCATTTAAACTATCAAACTTCTAGTTCAAATAGAAGAATGCTTACAGCATATTTTGTAAGTTTTGACGTTTTCTAATCTGGGAATCATGCCTCACCTGTCTCATTTATAGATATTTAGGGTGTTGCAGCGACGTCGAACTCGGTTGATGAAAGATAAATGCCTTTCATATGTCCATGGTCAACAATTCAATTTCTTAAAATATAAATACGCCATTAACATAATTTTGTCAAAACTTAATAAGATAATGCCTCTAATGGTTAGGAAGTTCCGTTTATAATTTGGCATCAATAAGTCTAGGTGTGAGCATCTTTTGATAAACCGAAATTTGGGAAAATGTAAATAGTATCGGCATTTGCCTAGAGTAAATGCAATCCTTATTATATGGCTGATGTAAATATTATCAGCGTTAGATATCTGATAACTACTGCATTAACATTTTTGTTGAAAACTTCTCTCTATGTTATAGAATCTACATTCTACAATCTTTCTCTTCTCATTCTAGAAAAAGAAGAAAATTCAGATATTAATCAGATAATTAAGAAAAAGGACCTTAAGCAAGAAGAAGTTATAACAAGGAATATCAGAGGTATACTATCATGTGTTTTTGATATGACCAAGTCCCGCAAGTACTTTTGATTTCATATAATATACATTTTTGTAATTAATGTAAATAACCACAGTTTAAATTTGCTCTTATTCCTTGTCGGGTTTGGCCTTACTTTTTATCCCTTTCAGCTTTATTTTGAGATTACTTATTTTGAGTTCTTAGCATGCTTACATGGCTAGTAATTATACTTCTCCCCTTTTCACGAATGTGGTCTACCAAATTAGACTTGTTACCGGGTTTGTACTAACACGAGCAACATGACGGGTGCCACATGTAGAGCAGGATCTGCTTACCCTTCCGGAGCACATGAGATCACCCCCAGTTCCTGATTGGGTTCGTGTTGCTTAGTCTTTAGTTTAATTCAAAATGTATATAGTGTCAACATTTCGCCTAACGTAACTGTTATCAGTATTGAATGGCTTATGTAAATGTTTTCAGCGTCAGATGTCTGGTAAATAATGCATTGATATATCCACTGTAAATGTCTTTGTAATAGAATATACCATCTTTTTATTCTTATTCTAGAAAACAATGAAGATTTAGATGTGGAACAGAAAATTAAGAAAAAGGAAACTGCGCAGGAAATAGTTATCCCAAGGAATAACAGAGGTATAATATGAGTTCATGTATTTTTATCTTGTAGTTACGTCATCAATGACAGCACACCAACAATTAGTGAAACTTTGTTTGTTCAGTCCTTGGTTAGTTTAAAGGCTTCTTCCACTTAAAAAGTTTAGCATCTTCAGACAAAGCGCTTCTAACGTTCCTAATTATACACTTGTATCTTTGATTATCTTTACCAATTTCCTGATGTAAATGTTATCAGCATTGTATGACTAATGTGATTGTGATATGTATCAACATCTTCGCTAGCCAAGGGTTACGATCCACTCTCCTCCTCTCCACCCTTGGCGGATTCAGAGAGAATTTCGGATCCACGAGGTTATGTTTTTCATTGGTTGCAGTCGTAACTGGCTGCATCCAATCAAAAAGCGCATATAACATGATCACGTGTAAATGTAGAAAATGTAGATAAACAATTGTCACGTGCTGATTGTGCAACAAGTCTTCTACCCCACCCCCTTCCAAAACATACGACGATATTAAGTGACAACTTAGATGTTCTTAATCAACTAATAGAAGTTCCTGTGAATGTTTCTTGCACAAATATCGGAATGTCAACGTAAATTTTCGTTTCCTGCTTCACCAAGTTTGAAAACTCTAGACGCTACCATGTTTTCACCTCCACACTGAAGAGACTTCAAGTGCTACCATTGGTCAAGAACAATGTATTCGGAATGAGCGTGACTTTAATCAACCAATAGATGGCGCAACATTGTTATCACAAAAGTTGGCTTAATCTGTCAAGGGTGGAGAGGAGGGGAGTGGATCGTAACTCTTGACTAGCGAAGATGATGTATCAAGGGCATGAAGGAAGATGTTATAAGTACTATTTGCAAAACATAAAATGTATGCATTATCCTTAAGTAAGAATTGTATGGCTGGTGTAACTTTTATCAGCACTAAATGACTGATGTGTTTTTCATCTTCATTAAAAACATAATGAAAAATGTTATGAGTACCATTTGCAATATATAAAACGTATATAATATCAGAATTTTGACTACGGTAACTGTATTCAGTATGTCTGACAACTACTGCACGACATTTTTGTTTCTATACCTTTTCAATATACGACATTTCTTTTATCATCCCAGAAAAAGAAGAAAATTCAATTATTGGACAGAAAATTCAGAAAAAGGAAGATGCGCAGGAAGAAGTTATCCCAAGAAATATCAGAGGTATAATTATATAAGTTCAGTTTTTTTAACACGATTTACTATCATCAATGACATCACCCTATCAATTTGTGAACATACTTGGTAACTCTGTATGTTCAGTCCTTGGTAAGTTCAAAGGCTTCCACTACTAAAATAAGAAGTGAAGAGAGTAATTTGTAATAATGTATTGCCTTATTATAAACTAGGTTAAGACACAAATTTGCCATTTCGAGAACGTCCAATTTTTCGACGTTAAATGTTAAAATCTTTTTTTTTTTTAATTTCTATTTGAAGAAGGCTCGCACCATATTCTGTAGATATTGACCTTTCCTTTCGAGGTAGTCTTGCCTCACTTGTCTCATTTCTAGGTTTTAAGCTGAGTTGCGACGACGTCAAACTTTTCTAATTAAATATTAATGCCTTCCAGATATACAGGTTCCATATGTCAACATTTCAAATGCCTAAAACGACAATTATCATTAATTTTAGTATTTTGTCATAATATTTTAGCGTTATATGGTTACAAAGACCAATTTAAAGTCTTAATTTCTCCGACCTAAATCCCGGACGCCTCTTTTACAAAACCTACCTAATGTATCTATTGTTAATTTGTTCTCGTCCTGAATATGCATGAATTATTCTGGACGTTAAGCAACCAACAATCAACAATCAATCACATAGTGTATGTCTGTCATATATATTTTTCGTAAATTGTTTTGTTACAAATTAAACCGCGAATCATCTCAATTGAATTGTTTCATATTTTTCATATCGGCGCTTTTTATAGCCGACTATATGGTATTGGTTTTCTTATTGTTGAAGGCCTATGGTAGTCTATAATAAATTACATCCACTTCATTTGAACTTTGGTGGATAGTTGTCTCGTTGGCAGTCATACAATATCTTGTTTTGCAAATCACCATCCAAAAAAGTAAAATAAACGATAGGGAACGAAACATTGTCACAATTTTGTAAAGAGTTCCCCATGTCAAACTATAACATCTAAAGACAGAAAAGACAGCTATTGTTTATATTAGATTTATTTAAAGTTAGTTCCTCTTATGAAAATCTACATTTAGAGAATTTCTTGATTTTATAAGACAAGAACGCAAAAATACTATCACGACAACGGTTATAAGTATTGTTGAATTTATCAATATAATTGAATAAATACGATCGGATCATTGCTGATTTTAGCTAACACATTTGATTCATAACTATACAGAATCAAGTCTGCTAAAAAAAAAGGACACAGTTGGTGAACATATGAATACCTACAACTAGTCGATATAAACATTATAGTCTAAATTTTAAAATCTTTAGTCATCTCGTTTTCATTTAGTCTATCTACCATATTTATTTCATTACAAAAGATGGTTGTGAATGAGTTGCAGCTTATAAATTTGCAATATGGGTTTTCAAATTATGTTTTATTTAAATTAGAAAAAATACTAGAGCCTAGATAAAGCAATATATGTCTGGGTTGTTTGGGTTTTTATTGTGTACTTTAGGTATGTCAATCCATAGCAGGGACATTCAAATGTTAAGAGGTTAAGTTAAGTTGAGATATGGTAATGAAATAATTTATTCCCATTTGGGTCTCTGTGGATTGCATGACCCTTAATGAAGAAGAATTTATCATTAAATATTTAAGAACTTCCGTGCAGTATTTACGTCATATTACCACCATTTAATTGCCTACTGTGTTCCAGTAAGCACTTTGTCTCTTACTCCTTTGATTCTAATGTATGTATGATTGCTTATTCATAACAGACTTTCTCGTTTTTTATATAGATTAGACCGTTGGTTTTCCCGTTTGAATGGTTTTACACTAGTAATTTTTGGGGCCCTTTATAGCTTACTGTTCGGTGTGAGCCAAGGCTCTGTGTTGAAGACCGTACTGTGACCTATAATGGTTTACTTTTATAAATTTTGACTTGGATGGAGAGTTGTCTCATTGGCACTCATACCACATCTTCTTATATCTATTAACATTAGTTACCAAAGTTACAGTACGTTGACAAAAGTACAAACAATAATGTTGCAAGACAAAACTTTGCTAAGACAATAAGACTATCAATAGTCTACACACATTTTGATAAACTCGACACCCGTCCCCCCAACCCCCATTGGTGCCTGGGGTATAGAAATATGGTCATTCTTGGTCTTCATCCGACAGGCAGTAAAACCCTTGCGAAGTTTGTTGTCCGTTTGGCTGTGCGGGATGTATAGGCATGCAGCCACGTCCAGTCAGAATGGGGACCTTTCAATCCGATACCTCGTGTAGAGAGAGTGCCGCGCTTTCTGCACGTTACGAACCCTTGTAACAACTCTTTTAAGGAAATTGTCTGTCCCTATCCAATATTCCTTCATTTATCAGAGGCATTCCTAATCTGGTTTTCAAGAACTTCATCCCGGATGTCCTTTATTACAGGACCTAACTATTGTATCTATTGTTAAGTATTCTCGTCCTGGATATGCATGCAATATTTGCCACCAGACGTTAAGCAACCAACAACAATTAAATAATTGATTAACACGAACCTCAATTAAACCGCCCTAGGTGTTTAAGACAGTTACGCATTTCTTCCTCAGCTAGTTGTATATTGTGCTCATAATTGGAAATCTTCAGATTAGTATTAGTTTATTTCCTGTTAATATTAGCAACGTCAGCATGAATTTTTCACTGCTTCAAGAAACGCGGCATATCTTTGATAAGTATTCGGTCAAAATCAATCATTCTGTAATGAAATGATGTTGCCTTTTCTTTTCAGGGTACTTTGTTATGAAATCTATCTATTTTTGAATAATTTTACAATTACGTATTCATGTTTTTCTGATATGATGCTATATATATTTTATGATTAAACGCTTAATAAACTCATCATAGATACCAGGATTGAAATTTTGCATTTGTGCCAGACGCGCGTTTCGTCTTCAAAAGACTCATAAGGGTACTTGTGAAATACTGTTTTAAAATAGTTTATGATATGAAATTTCAATTTTTAATGTATTTTCAATATACGTTTTGTTTTACAACTACCACCAAATGCTCATACTATTTTATATCCATTTTGGAATTCATAATGTATCTTAAATTATGTTGTCTCTTTGACATATTCCCCATTTCCATTCTCAATTTTTAATAGTTTATTGAAAGTATTGCTCATTAGCAACCCTTGCCTATATTTTCAGAGCAGATAAAAAATCAAATAGAAGACTGGGAAAAGAATGATAAGATGTTTGTGTGTACCCGAGCAAGTGATTACGTTATTGAATGTTTAAAGAATAAACATTGCGTCACTTTAACTGCCCCATCAGGTGTAGGGAAATCTTTTATCAGTAGGCATACCGCGCTGATCTTACAGAAGGAGGGATACAACATAATACCAGTGTATTCGCCTCAAAATATTAGCGATTATTTTCAACCTGGTAAAAAAACAGTCTTCATTATAGATGATATTTGTGGAAACTTCATTGCCAACCAAGTTGAAATTTTGAGCTGGAGAGAACTTTTACCCGTTGTAAACAGAATTATTGCAGACAAAAGTTGTAAGATTATTGTTTCTTGCAGGTTGCAAGTTTATAAGGATGGTGGTTTTAATATTTTATTACCTTTTAAGTCTTGTGAATGTAACTTAATATCAGACAATTTGCGTCTTACACCTGAAGAGAAAACGAGTATAGTAAGATCCTATATTGACACAAGCAAGCTTGATATTGGTGAAATATGTCAAACAAGTGATTGTTTTCCACTTTTGTGTTATTTATATCATGAAAAAAATTGTTCAGATGTCAAAGAATTTTTCAGAAATCCTTTTGGTGTCTATAAAAATGAGTTAGACATTTTAAGTATGAATGGCGAAGGAGGGAACATTAAAATGTGCAGTCTTGCGTTATGTGTTCTTTTTAATAATAAGTTGGAAGAAGAATGGTTTCAAGGTGAAGTTACAGATGAACAACAATATCTCATAGAAGACATAAATGATACTTGTGACTTCCGCATTGGTACATCAAAGGAGAAACTGAAAAAAGCACTCGACAATCTAGATGGTACATTTGTCATTACTAAGAATGGTATATACAGAGCTGCACATGATAAATTATTTGACTTCCTTGCTCATTACGTTGGTCATAAAATGACTAAATGTTTGATAGACCATGGTGATAGCCATTTAGTACATGAACGTTGTATTTGGCGTAAATCACCAGATCACAAGAACAGTAACATAGATTTCATTATTGAAATACATGATGACTATTTAGAATCATATATAAAAAGGTTTATAAAGGACTGGTCAGCCGGAAATGTAGTAGTAGTGTTTGGTAGCTATAATTTTAGAGTACCATCATTTAGACAGCAGTTATTACAATACTTAATACAACTGGACAATTCAGAACAAGTGGTATTGGCAAATACTAAGGATACGTTATTACCAAAGGAAAACTGTGGATCAGGTAGTACTCCCCTGATTTGTACTTGTAACGACGGGTATACTGATATGGTACAGTGGATCTTAAACAATGATGTAGATGTTGATCAGAGTAGAATTGATGGTAACACTGGGTTGATCATAGCATGTAGGCAAGGGCATGTTGATATAGTAAGACTGCTGTTACAAAAGAATCCTATTATTGATCTATGTAACCAGAATGAGATCGAAGCACTGAACTGGGCATGTTATAAAGGGTATACTAGTATTGTAAACATGTTATTAGAAAAGAATCCTAACGTTGATCTATGTAACCTGAATGGGATCACAGCACTGAACTGGGCATGTTATAAAGGGTATAATATTATTGTGAACATGCTTTTACAAAAGAATCCTAATGTTGATCTATGTTCCATTGATGGCCGAAGTCCTCTTTTCATGGCAAGTCAGAGAGGACATACTGATATAGTAAGGGTGCTGTTAAAAAAAAATGCTAATGTTAATCTGTGTACAAGTGATGGCCGTAGTCCTCTTCACATAGCAAGTCAGAATAGACATACTGATATAGTAAGGTTGCTGTTAGAAAAGAATCCTAATGTTGATCTATGTACCAATAATGGAAAGACTGCACTGACCCTCGCTTGTGGTAAAGGTTATCCTGCTATTGTAAACATGCTATTAGACAAGAATCCTAATTTTGATGTATGTGTCAGTGATGGTTGTAGTCCTCTTTACATGGCAAATCAGAATGGTGAAAGAATGATTGAATGTTTTATAGACTATGGTGATAGCTATTTTGTACATGAAAGTTTTATTTGGCAAATATCACCAGATGACAAGAACAGTAAAATAGATTTTTTTATTCAAATACCTAATGATTATTTAGAATCATATTTAAACAGGTTTATAAAGGACTGGTCAGCAGGGAATGTAATAATTGTTTTTGAAAGCTCTAACATGAAAGTATCGTCATTTAGACAACATTTATTACAGTATTTAACACAGTTGGAAAATTCAAAACAAGTAGCATTGGCCAATACCAAGAATACAGTGTTTCCAAAGCACAACAGTGGAATAGGTAGTACTCCCCTAATATGTACTTGTAACGCAGGTTATACTGATATGTTATTGTGGATCTTAAACAATAATGTAGATATGGATCATAGTAGAATTGACAGAACCACTGGACTCATCATGGCATGTCAAGAAGGGCATGTTGATATAGTGAGACTCCTGTTACGTGAAAATCCTAATGTTGATCTATGTGACCTGAATGGGATCACAGCACTGAACTGGGCATGTGATAAAGGGTATACTATTATTGTGAACATGCTTTTAGAAAAGAATCCTGATGTAAATCTATGTTCCAGTGATGGCCATAGTCCTCTGTACATAGCAAGTCAGAAAGGATATACTGATATAGTAAGATTGTTGTTAGACAAGAATCCTAATGTTCATCTAGGTTCCAGGGATGGTCGAAGTCCTCTTTGCATAGCATGTCAGAATAAACATACTGATATAGTAAGGTTGCTGTTAGAAAAGAATCCTGATGTTGATCTATGTAACAATAAAGGAAAGACTGCACTGTTCCTCGCTTGTGGTAAAGGTTATCCTGCTATTGTAAACATGATTTTAAGAAAGAATTCAAATTTTGATGTATGTGTCAGTGATGGTTGTAGTCCTCTTTACTTGGCAAATCAGAATGGTAAAAAAATGATTGATTGTTTTATTGACCATGGTGATAGCAGTTTTGTACATGAACGTTTCATTTGGAAGATATCACCAGATGACAAGAACAGTAAAATAGATTTCTTTATTAAAATACCTGATGAGTATTTAAAATCATATTTAAAAAGGTTTATAAAGGATTGGTCAGTAGGGAACTTAAAAGTCGTTTTTGAAAGCTCTAATATAAAAGTATCATCATTTAGACAACAGCTATTGCAGTATTTAGTACAGCTGGACAAATCAGAACAAGTAGCATTGGCCAATACCAAGGATACAGTGTTTCCAAAGCACCTCTTTGGATCAAACAATACTCCACTGATATCTTCTTGTAACCAAGGTTATACTGATATGGTACAGTGGATCCTAAATAATGATGTAGATGTAGATCAGTGTAGAGATGATAAGGTCACTGGACTGATCATGGCATGTCACGAAGGGCATGTTGATATAGTAAGGCTGCTGTTACAGGAGAATCCTAACGTTGATCTATGTGATATGAATGGGAACACAGCACTGCTTTGGGCATGTTTTAAAGGGTATGCTAATATTGTGAACATGTTATTAGAAAGGAATCCTAACGTTGATCTATTTTCCAGTGATGGCCGTAGTCCTCTTTACATGGCAAGTCAGAAAGGACATACTGATATAGTACGATTGCTGTTAGACCAGAATCCCAATGTTGATCAATGTTCCAGTGATGGTCGTAGTCCTCTTTGCATTGCAAGTCAGCAAGGACATACTGATATAGTAAGATTGCTGTTAGACAAGAATCCTAACGTTGATCTATGTGACAGTGATAGCTGTAGTCCTCTTTCCATGTCAAGTCTGAATGGACATACTGATATAGTAAGATTGCTGTTAGAAAAGAATCCAAATGTTGATCTATGTACCCATTATGGAAAGACTGCACTGAACCTCGCTTGTGATAATGGTTATACTGCTATTGTGAACAAGCTGTTAGACAAGAATCCTAATGTTGATCTATGTGACAGTGATGGCTGTAGTCCTCTGTACACAGCAAGTCAGAAAGGATATACTGATATAGTCAGATTGCTGTTAGACAAGCATCCTAATGTTCATCTAGGTTCAAGAGATGGCCATAGGCCTCTTTACATAGCAAGTCAGAAAGGATATACTGCTATAGTAAGATTGCTGATACACAATAATCCTAATGTTGATCTATGTGACAATGATGGGTGTAGTCCTCTTTCCAAGGCAAGTCTGAATGGACATACCGATATAGTAAGATTGCTGTTAGACAAGAATCCTAATGTTGATCTATGTGACAGTGATGGATGTAGTCCTCTGTCCATGGCAAGTCAAAATGGACATACTAATATAGTTAGGTTATTGTTAGAACAGAATCCTAATGTTGATCTATGTGGCAACCATTGTTTAACACCACTGATACATTTATGTAAGAGAGATGACACCAGTGTAGTCAAACTACTACTTAGACATAAACCAGCCATAAATTTCCAAACATTACTTGGTGGAAATGCATTACATTTCAGTGTAATGAATGGAAATATAGAGATAACACAGTTACTGTTAGAGAACAATGCGGACTGTAATGTATGTGTTCATAGTAAACAAACAATAACAGATGCAATATATACACTTTCACCGCCTGCGTTAGACAGATTTAAACAAACTCTTTTTGTAAATTTTCTTGAGGATACATTATCAAATGTAGCAGATTATGTCAGTAAGAAGTCAGAAGATTATACTTTTGATGTATGGGCTGGTTCGTCTCCTTTACACATTGCCTGTTTTTTTGGTACAATAGATATAGTCGATTGTCTTCTGGGTTACAATGCTAACATCAACATGACAAAAGAAGATGGAACAACACCGTTAATTTATGCATGTGAAGTAGGACATGAGGATGTTGTGCGTTTATTGTTGGATAAAGGAGCAGATACAGAGATCCTGAGGCTTGACAGAAAATCCGCTTTAAACATTGCAACGGATAATGGACATAAATCTATAGTACCGATGATAACAAAACACCTGAAGGGGGAAAACAATGCTTCTAAATGATAGTAATGTCAGAGGCATAATCACTTATGCAGTCAATCTTCATCTTTTGTTTTCCTGTAGCATCGTTGGAAATTGTTTTATTTCACCGAAACTCTTCTAAGTGCTTCTGTAGGTTTTTGCTGTTCATGATGCATTTGTTGTGATTTTAGTTTTCTGGAATTGCCATATGTGTGGTCTCTTTTTTTAATTCATTTTAATTAAGTGAGTGTCACGCTCTGTTCACTCTCCTTAATTCTTTCTGTATTGTTTTTGATTGCTATCTTTATTATACTAATGACTCTTACTCTATAAAGGAAAGATAAGAGGTACCAAAGAAATAATAGCAGGCATTTGAATCTTAACTTTTATCTCGTCTATCTTTACCCCCACTGCGTAATATATGTTGAAAACAAATTCAGTTTTTCACATGCTTGTTTTCTTATTTCTTGAATGATGCGTCTATTTAACTCACAAATTTAATTTTTGCCAATGACTCATAAGCCTGATACATGTCAGTTATAGGGGAAGATAATTTTTTCCATTGCCTTGTGGATTTTGTCAAGATATAAGGTAGTGCTGACCAGTTTATGAAGCTGAAATTAAAAGCAAAACGAGTTTACATGATCACTTTCCTCAAAAAGTTATACTTATATGCGGGTATAAATATGTCATTGTATACATGCTGCTTTAAAATTTATGCAACTGTAATCAATAAAAATCACGGAAAAGTGATTAACTCAACGCTTTGGACCATTTCAACTCATTATTTGATGTAAACTTATTTTGGTTGTTATAGGTTTCAAGCAAAACTAAAAATAACAAACAACAATTAAACTGCTAGAGTCTGAGGAGAAAGTTGATAAACTAGGGATATGTCAAAGAACGTCTCGTTCTTTTTCTAAAATAGTTCATCGGAAGATACCGAGAACTTTTAGATACATATTTCGTATCAACTTCACAATATTTATAATACATAATGGTTTTGAAGTATAGATTATAGGTACTGACATTATTTATCATCTTAATAACAAGTTACAGTGTTCTTTAATTTGTCTTTGTAGATTATTGACCTAAACTATTTAGTCCATTTTAGAAAATACACTTTTGGTGTGGCCCAGTACTCGTGCAATCCGCCAATGTGTTATTGTGCTGTGGTCTTTTATTTTTATTTTTGCTTATGTGCTTTGTCCATATGCCATTTTGTTTTCCATGTTGACATATTTGTTTGTTTTATAGTGATAAATATTATAACACAATGTTGACTGCTGTACCCCTATTTTTGACATTTTTACCAATTATGATTCTTTGTTTTGTTCACACGTTGTTTCAAATATAATGGAATTTTGTGCGTCGGACTGTTATACAATGAGAGGTTTATCTAGCTATAAAACCAGGTTTAATCCACAATTTTCTACATAAGAAAATGCCTGTACCAAGTCAGGAATATGACAGTTGTTTTCCATTCGTTTGATGTGTTTATGCTTTTGATTTTGCCTTTTGATAAGGGACTTTCCGTTTTGAATTTTCCTTGGAGTTTACTATTTTTGTTATTTTACTTTTTTTCCTTTGATATTTGTTATATCTAGTGCATGGTATGACTGTTGTCTCATAAACTTTCAACCAATTAACAAGTAAATGAAAAACCTTTTCAAACCAATGTTATTTGATAACATTTAATCGTAATTAGTTAACCCCTTTCCAAAAATAATAAGAAAAACATAACAAAAAAAATGTAACCTAATTGAATAATGTGATTGGTCTAGAAATTCTAAAAAGTTCGTATCTTGTAAAATACGGTTAAGCCCATGAAATATTATTTGGTCAAACGACAAGATAGTTGAGAATAAAAAAAACTTAAATATTATATAGGAATAAATGTGGTGTACTGACAATGTAAACAGTGTTAAAATTTCATTGTATTTGATTGATATTATACATTAGCTTAAAGAGAGAGGGGCTTTTTTCATAAGCTGTGTTAAGTTGTAAAAAGTGAGGTTTTAGTGAAACTACTTTTTAGAGTTGATATATGTATATGTATATTTTTTTTATTTCTAACAACTTTGTATCTTGTTTTTAAATTGAATATCTTGATATTCCCTCGTCATGCTACATTTATGCAACTTGATCATGTTGATAAACAGGAAATCTGTACACCGAATATTATCAGATTAAAGTAAATCTTTATATTTATACCGTTTATATATTCCATTATCAACCTTGAGTTTGATGCTGTGCTTGTTTTAATTCAGATACAATTTGTTCTTCATCGTTTACATTTCCCTTGTAGTTTTGATTGTACATAGCTGAAATTTGATTATTAAAGGTTACACCATTTGAATATGCAATATTACATTTATCAATAAAATACTTTTAACTTGTTCAACATATTTGTAGTCATTCATCCGAGTCAACCGAAGCTATGATATGTAGCAATACAAATAACATAAAGAAACAACTTAGGCTAAGAAAAGAGAGGCTAAGGTAGTTTACCGAAGTTCAAATCTCATAAATCGATTAATAACATACAAAGCAAAGTAGAGAACAAAAACAGGAAATCGCATGAATGCTAAACAAAAGCAAGATAGGTGTGTCGACAGGAAACACGTCTCCTGCTAAGCATGCATCACCGGCCATGCAAATCAACACTATGTCATAGATCATACGACTATTGGGTATCTGCAAATTTAGACCACGAAAAGTTTCGTTGACGGTTGAGACACCGACACATCGTATGAGTGGACATATTCGTAATGATGACCCGAAGAGGAAAATTACTCTTTATAAATGTGATACAATCGAAACAATTTTCTTAAATTAAAGAACCTTAGTGAGCGCGCTCACATACCCCCACGTTCCCACATTGTCACTGGAGAAATAAAATAACTGTAAGAAAAAAAAATTGAATCATAATTTCCTGTCGATATGCACATCTTCATAGTATGTCCTTATTATCTACAAAGTTTCATGAAATTCTGTTGTGTGGTTTCAGAGGAGTTGCGATGACAAACTGTTGCAGAGGTATATTGAAGCAAATAAGTTCAAAGGGGCGTAACTCCTAGAAAAAAAATTGAATCATAATTTCCTGTCGATATGCACATCTACATAGTATTTCCTTATTATCTACAAAGTTTCATGAAATTCTGTTGTGTGGTTTCAGAGGAGTTGCGATGACAAACTGTTGCAGAGGTATATTAAAAATTAGTTCAAAGGGGCGTAGCTCCTAGAAAAAAAAATCGAATCGTTATTTCCTGTCGATATGCACATCTACGTAGTATGTCCTTATTATCTGAAAAGGTTTCATGAAATTCTGTTGTGTGGTTTGAGAGGAGTTGCGATGACAAAAGGTTGCAGTAGTATATTGGGCAAATACGTTCAAAGGGGCGTAACTCCTGGAAAAAAAATTGAATCGTAATTTCCTGTCGATATGCACATCTACGTAGTATGTCCTTATTATCTACAAAGTTTCATGAAATTTTGTTGTGTGGTTTTAGAGGAGTTGAGATGACAAACTGTTGCAGTAGTACATTAAAGTAAATAAGTTCAAAGGGGCGTAACTCCTAGAAAAAAAATTGAATCGTAATTTCCTGTCGATATGCACATCTACGTAGTATGTCCTTATTATCTGAAAAGGTTTCGTGAAATTCTGTTGTGTGGTTTGAGAGGAGTTGCGATGACAAAAGGTTGCAGTAGTATATTGGGCAAATAAGTTCAAAGGGGCATAACTCCTGGAAAAAATTGAATTGTAATTTCCTGTCGATATGCACAACTACATAGTATGTCCTTATTATCTACAAAGTTTCATGAAATTCTGTTGTGTGGTTTCAGAGGAGTTGCGATGACAAACTGTTGCAGAGGTATATTAAAAATTAGTTCAAAGGGGCGTAGCTCCTAGAAAAAAAAATCGAATCGTTATTTCCTGTCGATATGCACATCTACGTAGTATGTCCTTATTATCTGAAAAGGTTTCATGAAATTCTGTTGTGTGGTTTGAGAGGAGTTGCGATGACAAAAGGTTGCAGTAGTATATTGGGCAAATACGTTCAAAGGGGCGTAACTCCTGGAAAAAAAATTGAATCGTAATTTCCTGTCGATATGCACATTTACGTAGTATGTCCTTATTATCTACAAAGTTTCATGAAATTTTGTTGTGTGGTTTTAGAGGAGTTGAGATGACAAACTGTTGCAGTAGTACATTAAAGTAAATAAGTTCAAAGGGGCGTAACTCCTAGAAAAAAAATTGAATCGTAATTTCCTGTCGATATGCACATCTAGGTAGTATGTCCTTATTATCTGAAAAGGTTTCATGAAATTCTGTTGTGTGGTTTGAGAGGAGTTGCGATGACAAAAGGTTGCAGTAGTATATTGGGCAAATAAGTTCAAAGGGGCATAACTCCTGGAAAAAAAATTGAATCGTAATTTCCTGTCGATATGCACAACTACATAGTATGTCCTTATTATCTACAAAGTTTCATGAAATTCTGTTTTGTGGTTTCAGAGGAGTTGCGATGACAAACTGTTGCAGAGGTATATTAAAAATTAGTTCAAAGGGGCGTAGCTCCTAGAAAAAAAAATTGAATCGTAATTTCCTGTCGATATGCACATCTACGTAGTATGTCCTTATTATCTACAAAGTTTCATGAAATTTTGTTGTGTGGTTTTAGAGGAGTTGAGATGGCAAACTGTTGCAGTAGTACATTAAAGTAAATAAGTTCAAAGGGGCGTAACTCCTAGAAAAAAAATTGAATCGTAATTTTCTGTCGATATGCACAACTACATAGTATGTCCTTATTATCTACAAAGTTTCATAAAATTCTGTTGTGTGGTTTCAGAGAAGTTGCGATAACAAACTGTTGCAGAGGTATATTGAAGCAAATAAGTTCAAAGGGGCGTAGTATGTCCTTATTATCTGAAAAGGTTTCATGAAATTCTGTTGTGTGGTTTGAGAGGAGTTGCGATGACAAAAGGTTGCAGTAGTATATTGGGCAAATAAGTTCAAAGGGGCGTAACTCCTAGAAAATTTTTTTATCGTAATTTCCTGTCGATATCCACATCTACGTAGTATGTCCTTATTATCTGAAAAGGTTTCATGAAATTCTATTGTGTGGTTTGAAAGAAGTTGCGATGACAAGAGGTTGCAGTAGTATATTGGGCAAATAAGTTCAAAGGGGCGTAACTCCTGGAAAAAACATTGAATGGTAATTTCCTGTCGATATGCACATCTACGTAGTATGTCCTTATTATCTACAAAGTTTCATGAAATTTTGTTGTGTGGTTTCAGAGGAGTTGAGATGACAAACTGTTGCAGTAGTACATTAAAGTAAATAAGTTCAAAGGGGCGTAACTCTTAGAAAAAAAAATTGAATCGTAATTTCCTGTCGATATGCACAACTACATAGTATGTCCTTATTATCTACAAAGTTTCATGAAATTCTGTTGTGTGGTTTCAGAGGAGTTGCGATGACAAACTGTTGCAGAGGTATATTGAAGCAAATAAGTTCAAAGGGGCGTAACTCCTAGAAAAAAAATTGAATCATAATTTCCTGTCGATATGCACATCTACATAGTATTTCCTTATTATCTACAAAGTTTCATGAAATTCTGTTGTGTGGTTTCAGAGGAGTTGCGATGACAAACTGTTGCAGAGGTATATTAAAAATTAGTTCAAAGGGGCGTAGCTCCTAGAAAAAAAAATCGAATCGTTATTTCCTGTCGATATGCACATCTACGTAGTATGTCCTTATTATCTGAAAAGGTTTCATGAAATTCTGTTGTGTGGTTTGAGAGGAGTTGCGATGACAAAAGGTTGCAGTAGTATATTGGGCAAATACGTTCAAAGGGGCGTAACTCCTGGAAAAAAAATTGAATCGTAATTTCCTGTCGATATGCACATTTACGTAGTATGTCCTTATTATCTACAAAGTTTCATGAAATTTTGTTGTGTGGTTTTAGAGGAGTTGAGATGACAAACTGTTGCAGTAGTACATTAAAGTAAATAAGTTCAAAGGGGCGTAACTCCTAGAAAAAAAATTGAATCGTAATTTCCTGTCGATATGCACATCTAGGTAGTATGTCCTTATTATCTGAAAAGGTTTCGTGAAATTCTGTTGTGTGGTTTGAGAGGAGTTGCGATGACAAAAGGTTGCAGTAGTATATTGGGCAAATAAGTTCAAAGGGGCATAACTCCTGGAAAAAATTGAATTGTAATTTCCTGTCGATATGCACAACTACATAGTATGTCCTTATTATCTACAAAGTTTCATGAAATTCTGTTGTGTGGTTTCAGAGGAGTTGCGATGACAAACTGTTGCAGAGGTATATTAAAAATTAGTTCAAAGGGGCGTAGCTCCTAGAAAAAAAAATCGAATCGTTATTTCCTGTCGATATGCACATCTACGTAGTATGTCCTTATTATCTGAAAAGGTTTCATGAAATTCTGTTGTGTGGTTTGAGAGGAGTTGCGATGACAAAAGGTTGCAGTAGCATATTGGGCAAATACGTTCAAAGGGGCGTAACTCCTGGAAAAAAAATTGAATCGTAATTTCCTGTCGATATGCACATCTACGTAGTATGTCCTTATTATCTACAAAGTTTCATGAAATTTTGTTGTGTGGTTTTAGAGGAGTTGAGATGACAAACTGTTGCAGTAGTACATTAAAGTAAATAAGTTCAAAGGGGCGTAACTCCTAGAAAAAAAATTGAATCGTAATTTCCTGTCGATATGCACATCTAGGTAGTATGTCCTTATTATTTGAAAAGGTTTCATGAAATTCTGTTGTGTGGTTTGAGAGGAGTTGCGATGACAAAAGGTTGCAGTAGTATATTGGGCAAATAAGTTCAAAGGGGCATAACTCCTGGAAAAAAAATTGAATCGTAATTTCCTGTCGATATGCACAACTACATAGTATGTCCTTATTATCTACAAAGTTTCATGAAATTCTGTTGTGTGGTTTCAGAGGAGTTGCGATGACAAACTGTTGCAGAGGTATATTAAAAATTAGTTCAAAGGGGCGTAGCTCCTAGAAAAAAAATTGAATCGTAATTTCCTGTCGATATGCACATCTAGGTAGTATGTCCTTATTATCTGAAAAGGTTTCGTGAAATTCTGTTGTGTGGTTTGAGAGGAGTTGCGATGACAAAAGGTTGCAGTAGTATATTGGGCAAATAAGTTCAAAGGGGCATAACTCCTGGAAAAAATTGAATTGTAATTTCCTGTCGATATGCACAACTACATAGTATGTCCTTATTATCTACAAAGTTTCATGAAATTCTGTTGTGTGGTTTCAGAGGAGTTGCGATGACAAACTGTTGCAGAGGTATATTAAAAATTAGTTCAAAGGGGCGTAGCTCCTAGAAAAAAAAATCGAATCGTTATTTCCTGTCGATATGCACATCTACGTAGTATGTCCTTATTATCTGAAAAGGTTTCATGAAATTCTGTTGTGTGGTTTGAGAGGAGTTGCGATGACAAAAGGTTGCAGTAGCATATTGGGCAAATACGTTCAAAGGGGCGTAACTCCTGGAAAAAAAATTGAATCGTAATTTCCTGTCGATATGCACATCTACGTAGTATGTCCTTATTATCTACAAAGTTTCATGAAATTTTGTTGTGTGGTTTTAGAGGAGTTGAGATGACAAACTGTTGCAGTAGTACATTAAAGTAAATAAGTTCAAAGGGGCGTAACTCCTAGAAAAAAAAATGAATCGTAATTTCCTGTCGATATGCACATCTACATAGTATGTCCTTATTATTTGAAAAGGTTTCATGAAATTCTGTTGTGTGGTTTGAGAGGAGTTGCGATGACAAAAGGTTGCAGTAGTATATTGGGCAAATAAGTTCAAAGGGGCATAACTCCTGGAAAAAAAATTGAATCGTAATTTCCTGTCGATATGCACAACTACATAGTATGTCCTTATTATCTACAAAGTTTCATGAAATTCTGTTGTGTGGTTTCAGAGGAGTTGCGATGACAAACTGTTGCAGAGGTATATTAAAAATTAGTTCAAAGGGGCGTAGCTCCTAGAAAAAAAAATCGAATCGTTATTTCCTGTCGATATGCACATCTACGTAGTATGTCCTTATTATCTGAAAAGGTTTCATGAAATTCTGTTGTGTGGTTTGAGAGGAGTTGTAATGACAAAAGGTTGCAGTAGTATATTGGGCAAATACGTTCAAAGGGGCGTAACTCCTGGAAAAAAAATTGAATCGTAATTTCCTGTCGATATGCACATCTACGTAGTATGTCCTTATTATCTACAAAGTTTCATGAAATTTTGTTGTGTGGTTTTAGAGGAGTTGAGATGGCAAACTGTTGCAGTAGTACATTAAAGTAAATAAGTTCAAAGGGGCGTAACTCCTAGAAAAAAAATTGAATCGTAATTTCCTGTCGATATGCACAACTACATAGTATGTCCTTATTATCTACAAAGTTTCATAAAATTCTGTTGTGTGGTTTCAGAGAAGTTGCGATGACAAACTGTTGCAGAGGTATATTGAAGCAAATAAGTTCAAAGGGGCGTAGTATGTCCTTATTATCTGAAAAGGTTTCATGAAATTCTGTTGTGTGGTTTGAGAGGAGTTGCGATGACAAAAGGTTGCAGTAGTATATTGGGCAAATAAGTTCAAAGGGGCGTAACTCCTAGAAAATTTTTTTATCGTAATTTCCTGTCGATATCCACATCTACGTAGTATGTCCTTATTATCTGAAAAGGTTTCATGAAATTCTATTGTGTGGTTTGAAAGAAGTTGCGATGACAAGAGGTTGCAGTAGTATATTGGGCAAATAAGTTCAAAGGGGCGTAACTCCTGGAAAAAACATTGAATGGTAATTTCCTGTCGATATGCACATCTACGTAGTATGTCCTTATTATCTACAAAGTTTCATGAAATTTTGTTGTGTGGTTTCAGAGGAGTTGAGATGACAAACTGTTGCAGTAGTACATTAAAGTAAATAAGTTCAAAGGGGCGTAACTCTTAGAAAAAAAAATTGAATCGTAATTTCCTGTCGATATGCACAACTACATAGTATGTCCTTATTATCTACAAAGTTTCATGAAATTCTGTTGTGTGGTTTCAGAGGAGTTGCGATGACAAACTGTTGCAGAGGTATATTGAAGCAAATAAGTTCAAAGGGGCGTAACTCCTAGAAAAAAAATTGAATCGTAATTTCCTGTCGATATGCACATCTAGGTAGTATGTCCTTATTATCTGAAAAGGTTTCATGAAATTCTGTTGTGTGGTTTGAGAGGAGTTGCGATGACAAAAGGTTGCAGTAGTATATTGGGCAAATAAGTTCAAAGGGGCATAACTCCTGGAAAAAAAATTGAATCGTAATTTCCTGTTGATATGCACATCTACGTAGTATGTCCTTATTATCTACAAAGTTTCATGAAATTTTGTTGTGTGGTTTCAGAGGAGTTGGGATGACAAACTGTTGCAGTAGTACATTAAAGTAAATAAGTTCAAAGGGGCGTAACTCCTAGAAAAAAAATTGAATCGTAATTTCCTGTCGATATGCACAACTACATAGTATGTCCTTATTATCTAAAAAGGTTTCGTGAAATTCTGTTGTGTGGTTTGAGAGGAGTAGCGATGACAAGAAACAGGACTGACGGACTGACGGACTGACGGTCTGACGGACTGACGGACGGACGGGTCGAAAACATTATACCCTCCGCAACTCGTTGCGTGGGGTATAATAACCTTTCAGGAACCGTCATAGCACAAAATACGAAAGCAAAGGATGTAAAAAAACGAAATATGAAGAATCTTTTTTGTTTCTGTATTTTGGATTGTTTTTCAATTTCTTTTTCAAAAACTTAATACCATGTCGTAAAAGGTTGATTTGTCAGTTTCAATCAATAAATGAAGTAGACAGTGCACGTGGTTGCCATGGTTATCTTTTAAGGAAAGGAAACACCAGATATCGTAAGGGTATAAAATAGATCTTTTATATGTGCTTGATGAAACATTGAGTTCAAATTCCCAATGAATTGTTTTATAATATTCCAATAGATTTAAAATACAATTATAACAAATAATAATTAAAAAAGTAGTATATATAACAATTGTAGAAAAAAGAAAGTGTTTCTCTTACTTGTATGAAATGACATTTGTATAAGAAAAAAAATACTGAAAAAGATTGTTAACAGTATATGAGTTCTATATAAATATAATTGAGGCCTGAAAATAACAAAACGACCATACAGACTCTTCATTGGTGATACTTACTGGAATGTTTAGACTTGGTAGATCTGTATCGAAAGCTTTTGTTACATATTTGGCAATGATATTGGTCTATACCTTTTTCGTGCTTTCCTGTCACATTATCAGATAGAAGATCTTTCCTCTCTAATATCTGAGGATACATTCAACACTTGAAACTTTTTTGCAATAAGAAATAAGAGTGGTACAAACTCTCAAGTGCCTCTTGTATGAACCTTTATATGTATACGGCTTTTTTACACTTTCCACACTTGAAAGGTTTATTTCCCATATGCGTGTTCATGTGGCCAAGAAAGTGGGCGTTGTCTATACAAACTTTTTGTTACAGATCTGGCATCCTGACTCTTCAATGTCAGAGTGACTTATCTCATGTCGTCTGTGGCAACTTTTTGTTTTTAAGTTTTCCCCATAAAAACAGCAAATCAATCCAGGCTGATCATTTGTGTTGTTTAAAGCAGTTATAACAGCAGATGAGTTTTCATGAATAAGCTTATGAAATGACTCAACTTCTCCCTCAATAGTCACGTTTTATTATTTTTATTTTGGACGGTGTTAATAATGTTTAACAATACGATAAATTCACACATTTTTGGGGAATCGTAATATTATAACCAAGTCGAGAATTAGACCAAATACCCCCCCCCCTCCCCCCACCACCAAATATATCATCGAAATCCAAATTTTCTAACCTTACATACATGTAAATATTATAGAAAGGGGTAATCATAAGAAAGATAAAACTTTTATCGCAAATCGCGCATTTGCTGTAATCGGACGAGTTAAGCTCTTTTCAACTATTTTTTATAGTTTGATCTTATGATGTGATGTTATATCACAGTTGGGGGTGTACTAGGCGCCCACACGTTTGACACCGCCATTCTGTATGTGCCAGTCCCGAATCGAGGAGCCTGTAGATCAGTGGTTGTCTTTTGTTGCTTTATATCATACTTGTTTTTCGTTTTTGTTTTGTACATAAAATAGGCCGTTAGTTTTCTCGTTTCAATTGTTTTACATTTGTCATTTTGTTCCCTTCATAGCTTACTATGCGGTATCGGTGTTTCTCATTGTTGAAGGCCATACGCTGACCTATATTTGCTAATTTTTACCTCATTTTGGTCTCTGCTGCAAAGTTGCTCATTGACAGTTTTCACGGGGTAAATGGCCACTAAGGCTGTTCTAAATAAGACTAAATATTGTGAATGAATAAATGGATGGAAGGATGGATGGATTGATATGGTGACACCCTCATACCACATCTTTTTATTTTTACATCATTACATACTAGTATAGTAAACAAACAAACATCATAATGTTATAAAATAATTAATGCATTAAAGTATTTATATTCAATTTAAACTTATAGTTCCTAGATAAGTGCAATAAGGTATACGTTTTGCCTTTGAAAAATGGGTACTCCCTTTTTCGAAAAGTGCCTGTTTAAAATAAATTTTAACACGACGGATTTGTTTTACAATAACATAGATATTGACTTTTTTTACGGACGATGTTCTGATCCGTGTTAACGTTGCTTTCCATAAATTTGAGGTTTCAAAAAACCGGGTAATTATGCAGTAAACAACATTGACAAAACCGGGTCTTTCCATTTTGACAGGACACTTTTCTCTCGTTCCATGCAAAGAATTACAAAAAGTTAAGGTGCTCTCAAAGTGACTAATCTTGCAATCTCTGTGTTAATGTCTTTCTTTACATACAATGTGCACAGTTTAACAAGAATTTAAACTTTATCATTTTGACGTGCCGTTTTATTTCTTTCTCCATTACTCTAGATCGGTTGTGGATAATATAACATCTCACAATCTAAAAGAGTTATATATGTACTTATATTCTTCAATATCATAAAAATAACAAATAAATAAACAGAAATCATACCTTTTCTCTGTCTATTGATTGTCCGTCACCGTAACAAATATTAGATACCATTGAGAGGAAACATTTTTTCCAGGGTAGTTTAGACACAGTGCCAAGGAGACAACTATCCACCAAAATTCAAATGAAGTGGATGTAAGCAATTATAGGCAACCGTACAGCCTTCAACAATGAGAAAATCCCATACCGTATAGTCGGTTTTAAAAGGCCCCGACATGAGAAATATGATACAATTAAATTGAAAAAACTGTTCAGATAAAAAGTTGAATATTTCATTTTACAGTTGGTAAAGCAATTATATTTCTTTAACAAATAACAGCCACTAAAAAATCAAAAGTAATCAAGACGTTTCTTGGTACATTTCCCCTATTCAAGACGCCATGAATTTCCATTAAGTTGTCTATATACCTCAAAATATGAATACCCTTTTCTCAGCAAACAATAGAAATGTTAGAAAACTCTGGTTTATCTAGCCCCTTATGAAATTCGTCACCTCCTGCAAAAGTCCCTTTGAAAAGTCGTTTAAGGGGCGTTTTTATATTGACGAACGGGACGCAAGCTCTGCAACTGCAGTTTAAAGGCAGTTTTTCTCACAGCGAAGGATCATTATCTGAAAATAAATCTTTTAAAAATCAACACTTTAGAATTTGTCACGATACAGAAAAGTTCGCAAAGCATAATGGTTTACGAGCGTTGGCGATGTCAGTGAACGGGACACGAGCAATGCAACTGGGTTAAGGCAGATTTCTAACAGAGAAGGATCAATATCTGAGAATGAAAAATCCTAAAACAACTTCCTCCTTTAAAATTCCTCACGCTACGGAAAGGGATAAAAGACATATTTTTTTACAAGCATACACTTGGTACAATAAAAAACCTGGTAATAAATTGTTCAAATAAGGCCCTTAAAAATAGTGGAATTAATTACTTTTGGAGTGTTAAAAATTCGTTATAGCTTGATAAATTGCATGCTTATCTTGGTGATTTCGAATCTGTTCAAAGTTTTGATTTTTCTACCCTATATACCACTTTGCCTCATAATCTTATTAAGAAAAAATTCACACACCTGATTAAATAGGCATTTAAAAAGTCGAAATGCGAATATATATGTTCAAACTCTTTAAGGTCATTTTTTGGTAACAACAAACAAAAGAACTATGTCAATTAAACCTGCTTTGATACTATAACTGCCCTTGAATTTTTACTAGATAACATTTTTGTTCGCTATGGAGATTCCGTATATCGTCAGGTTATCTGAATTCCCATGGGGACTTACTGTGCACCACATACTGCGGACCTGTTTCTGTATTGTTATGAGTTACAATGTATGACTAAAATCAGCAAAGACCCATCCAAACAACATCTGATTCAAAAATTTAATAACACTTTTAGATATTTAGATGATATATTGGCTATCAATAATGACGACATCAGTATGTACACTAAAGAGATTTATCCTGCCGAACTGACTTTAAATAAAGCTAATACTAACAATGAACACTGCCCTTTCCTGGATCTTGATATCTATATCTTTAACGGGGAGCTAAATACCAAAATTTATGATAAAAGAGATGATTTTTCATTTCCTATTGTTAATGATCCATTTTTAGATGGTGACGTTCCTTTGTCACCATCGTTTGGTGTTTATATATCTCAACTTGTTCGATTCGCTCGTGTATGTAACAACGTATTTGATTTCAACGAAAGAAATCTCTGTATTACTGAAAAATTATTACACCAGGGTTTTCGATATCACAAACTAGTTAAAACATTTACTAAATTTTATCATCGGTACAAGGACATCATTCGTAAATATAAATCAACATGCAGACATTTTATACGTTCGGGTATTTCACATCCAATAGTTTATGATAATATTCTTTACAAAGCACAAAAATGTCGGCATTCACCTCAAAAGCTAACCAAACCTTTAAACAGACTTATTCGGAAATGATATAGTTACGATACTGTTGTCAAGTCATTAAGGATTGCATATTTTGGTATTAATATTGATTCACTCATAGGGTCTTTGCATCGGAAATAAACACATTTATTCTAAAACCAGTTATTGGCATGATACGGGTTATTTTCTTCTCATATATTTTATGATGGTATGATACTAAACCTCTAACGGGAGGGATTGTACTTGATTTTCATATGATGAAGACATAATCTTTCAATCAGTTTAATTGAGGTCTGGAGCTGGCATGTCAGTAACTGCTAGTAGTCCTTGTTAATTTATGTATCATTGTCATTTTGCTTTGTGTCTTTTGTTACCTATTCTGATATCGGTCTCGGACTTCTTTTGAACTGAATTTTTACTGTGCGTATTGCTATGCGTTTCTTTATTCTACATTAGCTAGAGGTATAGGGGGAGGGTTGAAATCTCACAAAACATGTTTAACCCCGCCGCATTTTTGCGCCTGTCCCAAGTCAAGAGCCTCTGGCCTTTGTTAGTCTTGTATGTTTTTTTAATTTTAGTTCATTTATATGTTTTGGAGTTTAGTGTGACGTCCATTTTCACTGAACTAGTACACAATTTTATTTAGGGGTCAGCTGAGAACCACCTCCGGGTGCGGGATTT